CGCGTCTGCGGGGTCCCCGGCTGCGGGGTCCCCGGCTGGCCGGCTGGCTCTCCCCGACAGGGACCCAGCCCGCAGCACACACTGACTTCAGGCTCCCAGGACGAGGCCTGCACTCGAAAAGGAACTTCTGTCCTCTGCTCGCTGTCCTCAGAGGCCCCCACGGCGTGTGGACCATGGAAGAGCGTGGCCTGGCCCCCAAGTTTGACACCACCTTCGAGAACGCCCGGCCCTCCAAGACCCACATGGCCCTGGTGCAGCTGGAGCGCTCGGGCTTCCTCAGCTTCCTCGTCAGCCAGAATGTGGACGGGCTGCACGTACGCTCGGGCTTCCCCAGGTCAGATGGGACTGGACCAGGGGCGTGGGGCTCAGCTGCACCCCTTCCTTATCCGGGAACCAGGCTGCCTGCCCGGGGTCAGGGACATTTTATTGGAGATGGAAAGGGGGGAAGAGCTTGGAGCCTAAAGTAGGCCAGCACTTGGTCAATGGGGGGGTTTCTAGGTGGGGCTCCACCCTGAGCCACGCCCCCAGCCCCTCACTGGGGGCGTCTAGGCAAGTGCTCTAAGGCCAACAGATTGTTTTCTGTTTTTTTGTTTTTTAAGATTTTCGAGACAGGGTTTCTCTGTGTAGCATTGGAACCTATCCTGGAACTAGCTCTGTAGACCAGGCTGGCCTCGAACTCACAGAGATCCGCCTGCCTCTGCCTCCCGAGTGCTGGGATTAAAGGCGTGCGACACCACGGTCCATCTGGCCAACAGATTTTTGTAGTGGGGAGCAGCTATTTGTGTTTGCAGAGATAGGGTCATCGCCACCTGTAACAATTCCTCAGCCTAGACCTTGTGGGTGAGCAGCCTAGGAAGGCTTTCTGGAGGAAGAGGCAGGCTGAGCAACTGGTCCAAGCCTCAGGGTTCAGGGAGGAAGGGACCTGACTCTCATTCTCTTCCGCAGGGACAAGCTGGCTGAGCTCCATGGAAACATGTTTGTAGAGGAATGTCCCAAGTGTAAGACGTGAGTGTCCGCAAGTGAAGACCGGCAGGGGAGGGGCTCTCCCAGGGTGGGGCTCTCCCAGGTTCCTCCGCTGAACCAGCTAACAGGTCCTGAAATGGCCCCAGGGAAAGCTGGGAGGTGCCTCTGATTCCAGTGACAGTCAGTTAAAAACAGACAAGCTATGAGGAGGTCCCCCAAGCAAGAAGCTACAAAACAGGGCGACACAAGCCACATCCTTGGAAGTGAGGGGTTCTCCCTGCCCCACCCCCCTGCTGTGGCTCCCAGCCAGCAGACAACATTGCTTTACACCAGATCCTCGAGGGTGTTAGGCAAGAGCTGTGCCCCTGAGCTTCAGCCCCTGACCCCCTCTTTAAGTTGCCTCTGCTTCCTGGTGCTGAGATCACAGCCAATGAGCCATCATGTTTGGCCACCCCACACACACACTGGTGGATGGTCTTGTATTGTTGTTGGTTTGGTTTTTTGCTGTTGTCATTTGGAGGGGGGGGGTTTAAGGATTTACCCATTTACTTAATGTATGAGTGTTCTGCCTGCTTGTACGCCTTTATGTCAGAAGAGGGCACCAGATCTCATTACAGGTGGTTGTGAGCCACCAGGTGGTTGCTGGAAATTGAGCCTGGGTCCTCTGGAAAAGCGGTTAGTGCTCTCCAGCCCCAGCATCAGGTGTCTTAACTCAACCCCTCTCCTTGTGTTCTGAAGCACAGTCTCTCAGAACCTGTCAATTGCTGGTTTTGCTGAGTGGCCAGGAACCTCCTGGGGTCTCCAGCGCTGGGGTGGTAAATCTGCTCCATTGTGCCGCCTTTTGAACTCAGGGCCTCATGTCTGCATGTCAAGCCCTTCCCAGACTGAGGCACCTGTCTTTGTATCCCTAGGCTGTTGGTCTTGCAGTGTAGCCCAGGGATTGAGCCTGTACCCCATACACTGGTTACACCACCCCCAGACCCCTGAAAGAGCGCTAGACAAGTCACATCCCCCTCCTTCCCCCCTGTACAGGCAATACGTGAGAGAGACAGTCGTGGGTACCATGGGCCTCAAGGCCACGGGCCGGCTCTGCACAGTGGCCAAGGCCAGGGGCCTAAGGGCCTGTAGGTGAGTAACCTTCCTCACACCTGCCCCTGTCAGGAAGTGAGGGCCCTAACTCCCTTCCCTGACCTGCTGCAGGGGGGAGCTGAGGGACACCATTCTGGACTGGGAGGACGCACTGCCTGAACGGGACCTGATGCTCGCTGATGAGGCCAGCAGGTGTGACCCCGTGCTCCCTGGGTGGCAGTGGGTGGGCACAGCTGTACAGGCATGGGATAGACTTCCACAGAAGATCAGGACTCAGGGGTGGGACAGCAGAGTGTCCTCTGCAGCGCACCCACACCCTTGGGCAGGATAGGTGCGGAGGGGACCCTGGGATGATTGGAAGCTTTGTTTGGTTTCTTGTTTCAGGGTTTCTGTGGTACTGGGGAGAATACTGGGCCTTGGTGCACTAAACAAGCACAGAACTAGAGCCCCACCTCCACCCCGCACTGGGGATTCTAAGCGGGGCTCCACCCTGACCACGCCCCCAGCCCCTCACTGGGGATTCTAGGCGGGGCTCCACACCCTGACCACGCCCCCAGCCCCTTACTGGGAGATTCTAGGCGGGGCTCCACACCCTGACCACGCCCCCAGCCCCTCACTGCTTCCTGCTCCCAGGACCGCAGACCTGTCAGTCACCCTGGGCACCTCGCTGCAGATCCGTCCAAGTGGGAACCTGCCCCTTGCCACTAAGCGCCGGGGAGGCCGTCTGGTCATTGTCAACCTACAGCCCACAAAACACGTATGTGCCAATGCCCTGCCCTGTGGCCCTGTGTTCCCTGCCATGTCCCCTGCTCCGGCCTAACTGTCCGTCACTCTGGCAGGACCGCCAGGCTGACCTGCGAATCCATGGCTACGTGGATGACGTGATGAGCAGGCTCATGAAGCATCTGGGGCTGGAGATCCCCACCTGGGATGGACCCTGCGTGCTGGACAAGGCCCTGCCACCTCTGCCACGCCCTGCTGTGCCCAAGACTGAGCCTCCTGCACATCTCAATGGCTCGGTGAATGCTGTTTGTAAGCCAGAGCCCAACAGCCCTGTACCCCACAGGCCCCCCAAAAGAGTAAAGACCGAGGCTGTCCCCAGCTGACCCGGGTGCGAGGGGTGGGAGGGGCACTTGTAAGAGCCACACGCAGTGGGATTTTTATTCTGTTTTCTTTCTGTGTGCTGAAGACTGAGCCGGGGCTTGCCCATGCCATAACCCACCTTTTTCATATTTTTCTTTGAAACCTGGGCTCCCTAAGTCACTCAAGCTGGCCTTGAACTCACTGCTGTAGCCCAGGTTGGCCTGGAGCTGGCATCCTGCCCCCCCTCAGCCTCCACAGTAGCAGGGTGGCAGGCAGGTGCCACCAGGCCCAACACAGCTCCTTGGGAGTCTCACTGTAGCCCTTGTCCACGTCCCTCTGAGGAATCTTGGGACACGGAGTCCCAGTGTCAAGGATTCATGTGCCTGTCCACCTGCCACACCCTGCTTGTGACTCAGGATGTGCCTGAGCGGCGGCCACACACTCCATCCCGCACCCCTTGATCCAGAGCCACCAGGGATCCGTCTACGCTAAGGGCCCCAGTCTCCTGGAAACACCCAATGCAATAAACATGGAATTCCTTTCATTTTTTTTAAATTTTATTACATTTACTTATTTCCTTTCTGTGTGAATGTGTGCGTTTTTGCATGTACATGTGTGTATAGTGTGGAGGTTCATGTGTGGAGGTCAAGGGACAGCCTGAAGCAGTCAGTTCTCTCCTCTACCACATGGCTCCCAGGAACGTAGCTCCATCGTCAGGCTTGGCTGTAAGCGCCTTTCCCGGCTGAGCCTTTTCACCAGCCCTAGCCTCCTTTATTTGCCTGGGTGTGTTAGAATCCCCAGCCAGCCCATGCTACATGAGACTCTGTCCCAAAAAGTTAGATGTTTTTGTAGTCATCCCACGACAACATGGCCAAATCCGTGCATTAGACCATCCCTGTGACACCCAGACCTCTGCAGCTGTCCTGACCGCTCTGAGGCCTGGGGACTGGTCTCCTAGAAATCTCTTGCACGTTGCGTACACATCGCCCTTAACTTGATTTTTGAGACAGGGTCTCACTGAGCCTGGAGCTAACCCATTAGGCTAAGCTGGCCCTCAAGCCCCAGGCATCTCCCTCTCTGCACCTCCCTGGCACTGCTGTTACCAAGGCACATGTGGGTTTTGCCCACATGTATGTCTGATCCTACACGGCTACCTGATGACTGCAGAGGGCATCAGATCCCCAGAAACTGGAGTTACAGATGGTCGTGAGCTTCCATGTAGAGCAGCTGGTGTTCTGACCACTGGGCCGTCTCTCCAGCTCCCTGCCCCTCATAGTCTTCTCTTGAGACAGGGTCTCACTGTGCATCCCTGGCTGGCCTGGAGCTCACAGAGCTCAAAGGTGTAGTCCACCATGCCCCGCAAGGCCTGCCATTTTTATATGGGTTCTAGGGATTTGAGCTCAGGTCCTCATGCTTACACTGAGCTACATCCTGCAGCTCTGGTTAGTCAACGCAGCCACTGTGCCCAGCTTGGCACTGTTCAAGGCCAAAGAAATGAGGACACTCAGGCAATGGACTGGTCTCTGTTGCTTTCCCACTCTCTCCTCTCTCTCTCTCTCTCTCTCTCTCTCTCTCTCTCTCCCTCTGTGTCTGTGTGTCTCTGCATCTCCCTGTCTCTCTGTCCCCTGTCTATCTGTGTGGTATATTTGTGGCCCTAGACAGGAGGGACAGGCCGGCATCCAGGCAGAGAAGTAGGAGATGAATTTAGGCACACATCAGACGCAAAGACATGGAGGGAGTCAGACATACAGAATGAAAATGGTAAAAAGCCACAAGTGAAACAGATTAATATAAATGGGTTAATTTAAGTAAGAGCTAGTGGGACAAGCCTTAGCTAAGACTGGGCTTTCATAATTAATAGACTCTCTGAGTCATTATTTGTGAGCTGGTGGCCAACAACAAAGCTTGCTATGGCTCTCTCTCTCTCCCATCTCTTGCTGTCTCTGTATCTGTGTCTCCTTGATACCTGGTCAGGGACTTATCTCAGGACAGCTCTCAGTCTTGAGGTGCTGAGCCTGGAAAATTAACCAATTGTAGGTGCTGTGGGTCAGAGTCCCCAGTAACTGTATCCTGTGTTATACAGTGAATCAGAAGTGAGCAGGAAACTGGGCACTGGAGCACAGACATCACCAGCTCTGTCCAATCAGAATTCCAGGGTGGGGGATCATGAATGCTGCCCTGGGAGTGCCAATGAACCCCGCTCTATCCCCACCCCACAGAAATCATGTTCAATATGGAGGCATCTTTATACCTCCTTCACCTGGACCAGGAAGCCCCCCCTCCCCACCTTGAGAGACAGTTTGAACCCAGCAAAGTCTCCATACAACAATCATCTCTCACAGTTCACCCTGAACATAATCCATCCAGGACTGATGTCAGGCTTACATGTGTCTCTGCACTAGAGAGAAACTCCAAACACGTGATGTCACACACTGGAGAGAAGCCATGTAAGGAGTGTGAGGGACCATCAGCCATCCCTCAGCTTTTTGAAGACATGATAATGTACACCTGGGAGAAGCCCTGTGTGTGTCAACAGTGTACGAAAGCGTGCGTTCATCTGCGATTTTTTCAGAGACAGGAAAGGACCCCTTTGAGAAACCCTATGGATGTGAGCTGTAAGGGAAGGCCTTCAGGCTTCCCTCACCCCATCAGGAGCACATGAAAGTCCACATGGGAGAGTAACCCTGTAAATGCCATCAATGTGTGAATGCCAGTATCCTTAAAAAAAGCACAAGAAGCTCGCCAGGTGTTGGTGGCACACGCCTTTAATCCCAGAACTGGGGAGGCAGAGGCAGGCGGATCTCTGTGAGTTCGAGGCCAGCCTGGTCTACAGAGAGAGTGCCAGTATAGGCTCCAAAGCTACACAGTGTGAGGAGCCGCACTCACATTCGCCATTACAAGATGGCGCTGACATCCACTGCCGGATCAAGTAAACAACGTTGGTTCGCATGTGCCCAGTGTTTTTCCACTTGCCTAGCCTCGCCTCTTTCGTGGCGTCATATAGGGTGATGAGTCCTCCACCTATCCCAGCTGTACACCCACTGCTCGGAGCTTATGAGCCTTTATAAGGGGACGGGATTCTTGGCTCGGGGTCTCCCTAGTCGGAAGCTGATCATCTCTCTCTCAAGATGCATTAAAGCTTTACTGCAGAAGGATCCTAGTGTCCTGTGTCGTTCTTGCTGGCAAGACGATCGCGCGGGACAACACAGAGAAACCCTGTCTTGGAAAAAAAAAAAAATCACAAGCACAAGAGGTCATACCACAGAGAAGCTCTGTAAGTGTGCACACTGTGTGAGAAAACTTCAGATTGGTGACTCCCTGGAACAGGCAAGAATGGTTCCTGAAAATCAACCACATGGATGTGAACTGGGCAGGAAAGCTTTGCTCCCACATATCCTTACAGTAACATGTGCATACACTGCAGAGAGTCCACACGAGGGCAGCATGGGAAACCCCTCATTTGCAGGAACTCTTACAGCAACGTGAGAAAGCTCTCTGTGGAGAAATCCTATGCGTGTAAGCGATGTGGGATGGACATTGTCTGTGTTCACACAAGAGGGCTTATAGGAGAGGACTATTGAGGCTGGCAGTGTGGCCAGGCCTGCAGTTGTTCCCCTTACAAAGACACATGTTGCAGAATATTTGTTTAACTATGCAAAGATGTGTTGCATTTGTTTAACTTAAGGCACCTGATTGGTCTAATAAAAAGCTGAATGGCCAGCATCGAGGGAGGAGGGATAGGTGGGACTTCCAGGCAGAGAGGGCAAGCACGAGGAGGAATTTAGGCTCTGGGAAGAAAGAAAAAGATGCCAGGGAGATACCAGGAGCCAGACAGACAGACACAGAGGAAGTAGGCCAGTAGAACAAACAGAATGAAAGAAAGGTAAAAAGCCCTGAGGCAAAACAGATGAATAGAAACAGGTTAAATTAAGTTAAAGGAGCTAGTGGGACAATCCTAAGCTAAGGCCAAGCTTTCATAATTAAAAATATGTCTTTATTTGGGAGCTGGTCAGTAGCCCGAAGAAAATTCCAACACACACATGAGCTGGGCAGTGGTGTCGCACACCTTTAATCCCAGCGCTTGGGAGGCAGAGGCAGGTGGATCTCCATGAGTTCAAGTCTTCAAGGCCAGCTTGGTCTACAGAACTAGTGCCAGGACTGCCAGGGTTACTAGACAAAGAAACTGTCTCAAAAAAAGACACATGAGATTGATACCCTGAAAAGAGTAACAGGCATGCAGTGTGGGTCACCCACAAAGGGACTCATGTCCAGTAACCCATCGGCAATTGAACACCAGAGAAGCAATCCTAGGAAAGCTAGATGCGGTGCCTGTGCACTCGTGTGTGTGTGTGTGTGTGTGTGTGTGTGTGTGTGTGTTGTGCTAGGGATAGAACCCAGGGCTTTGTATGTGCTAAGCATACATAACCACTGTGCTGCATCCCAGCCCTGATGTGTGTTTTTATGCAAGGGTGTCAGTGTATGCACAGGCTTGTGTGTGCAGATATGCTCATACATGTCAGAGCCATGCCCCCGTTCACAAGTGCAGACACTAGAAGAGAGTATCAGGATCACCTGTCTATCCCTCTGAGGCCAACTGTCTCCCTGAGCCTGGGCCTCATATGTTCCTCAGTGAGGCCTGAAGAAATCCAATGACCCCCAACCGGGGTTTGTGTAGCACCAGAAACCCAGCTTTTCCATGAGTTCTGGGATCCAAACCCCACTTCTCACGATCATAGAGCAAGCTCTCTACAGTGTGAGCCATCATCCCTGCAGCCTCTGAAGTGGGCTTTTAAATTTGGCCAGGCTTGAATTATGCTTCACTTGATGTCAACCTGCCACAAATTAGAATTACCTAAAGGGGGAACCTAAAGAGTCGCCCCAACTGCCTTGACTGTCCCGGAAAGCTCCGCGCCATTGGTAGCAGCCCAGACATAGAGTGGGTCATGGTCTTCTCTGGCTGCCAGGTTGACCTGCCCACCACTCCTGCTGTGGGCTCCTTTGCTGATGGCAGAGCCAGTGTCCCCAAGCATTCACCAGGGAGTAGGGACCGGTGGCTCTCCAGGAATCTTCTGGTGCCAGGTTGGGACTACAGAGGCAGCCCGCTTTGTGCTGGTGGCACTGTCTCAGGGGTAACTTAGTGCTCATGTACGAAGGCACATGCTGACACACCTGTGCGTGCATGTGCTCACACACACACACACATGTGCTCGCACATACACACATATGCTCGCACACACACACACACATATGCTGGCACACACACACATATGCTCGCACACACACACATATGCTCGCACACACACACATGCTCGCACACACACACATGTGCTCACACACACACACACATGTGCTGGCACACACACACACGTGCTGGCACACACACACATGTGCTGGCACACACACACATATGCTCGCACACACACACATATGGATGAATACACACAAGGTTGTGTTCCTCTGGTGACCCCCTGATTGAAATAGCTCAGTTTCTGTCCAGTGAATAATAGGAAATATGTCTTAGGGAGCTGTTTGGACAATGAATGGTGGCATTTTTTCAGCC